CTTACAGCCCTCCGCGACACACATACGTCACGGAACAAACACGACCGTACACCTTTGCGGGGGATCACCTACGAAACACTTTCGATCAACTTGCACGCGATCCGTCACGCGATTAGCATCCCCCTGCCGAGCGAGTTACCGTAGTGAGGATAATCTGGCATTCCTCAGGTGGGCACCGACAGCACCTTCGCCGATGTTCGAAATACCGCAGCGGCTTACCCGGCTACCTTGCTTTACAGTTATCGCGACACGTTACCAATCGATTGTCACTATATCATACGCATATACCAATCGTCACAATCTGTTCAATACGTTGTAACCGTTTCTCGCACTGTTTTTTTCACGTATTTATATTCGTCGCAGAACTATCCGCAAACAGAGGAGCGCCATCTTGATTTCTGCTGTCGCGGAACGAGTCAAATGAGATGCGCGCGACGCCGACACAGCTGTGAACGGGTGCCATTGCCAACGAAGACCGCGGTTTTTCGGAACACATACGACGCAATTAACTTTCAAAGTTTGTCTCTTATTTTATTGAGCTATTTTCTGATGCTAATCATTTTCGCGATGCTATCTATCTCTTTTTCTATCTTCTTTTTTAATATATTTAATTATTTTATACTATATTGTTCCTTCTTTTATAATTATTTTATAATTATTCGTATACTAATTTTCTTTTAAATAGAAAACAAATATATATTTACGTACTTTTAATATTATAAAATAATTATAAATAGCAAATATTGTATAATATTGCAATTGCGTTTTGATTGGTTGAAAATGGATAGAAGAATTCTTACCGTGAAATTTGAATGTAAGAATTTAAAATATATAATATTTTATTAAAATATAAAATCGAAAAATAAATGATTATTGAAAACGAGATATTAAAATAACTAATAGAAACACTTTTTATGGATTATACTTGAACTTCACCAAAAATTTTTAAAAAAAAGACTATAACAAACAGAGACACTTCAAGCTTGTGCGCCATCTTGGACGATACTAAACATGGCCGCTAAAACTGCGTAAGTCAGTAGTGTGGTGTACATATTAACGGTGGATGGTTCATTATTTTATTACAGTGTTCGCGTAGTGTTCGGTTATTTTTATGTCCATTTACATTCTTAGTGTTTAATATATCGTTAGTTTTACAAGTGAATTCTTCAAAAGACAGAATTTGTTGAAATGGGCCGTTCCAGATCCAGGACAAAATCTCCTAGTAGGCGGCGTCATAAGAGCAAGCATTCAAGAAAACGTTCAAAATCACGTGAGAAGCATTCGAACAACAAGTATTCTGACAAGCCAAAAGAACGTAGTTCAAAAACAAGGTAATATATTTTATTTTATTATCGAACATATGCATATTGGAATCGTTTCATTTTATCGAATTTTCCGCCATTTTGCTATATAGTCAATAAAAAAAATCTTTTTCATTGATATATATTACATCTAATTGGAGATTTATGTATCTCCTATTGTTGTATATATCTTAGTGCGTTATTTCTATTAATAAATATTAGTCAATTGATTTTTAATTGTCGTGTCAATTATTTCTTTCTGCAATTATATAGAATTTGAAAGAATTTATTTATTTTTGCAGGAAACGATCCCATTCTGCATCTTCTAGTTCATCAGATGCTTCAGATGATGTACATATAGTCAGTCATAAGAAACGTTCATACAGAGACAGAGATCGCAAAATGGATGAAGTAGAAAGACTGGCAGAAATGGAGCGGCAAAGGTAATTATAATAAATATAAATTTAATTATTTTTTATTTGATTTTTATTAATTAAATGTATTTTCATTAACAATATTTATCTATAATATCTCTTTATTAAGTTTTTATTAAAATATTCAAATATTAGAAAGGATAACATTAAAATGTTTTTATTATTTCCTCGTGCATTTGATATTATAGAATTAAGGTACTTATTCCTAAAAAAAATATTTCTTCACATTATTCTTTATATTTTATTTTTTTAAAAGGCAAAAACAATATAAATTTTAACACATTTAATTATTTTTTAATTAATAAAGAAAATTAGTTTTGCTTCTATTGGTATACGTTTTTTTTTATTTATAATTATGTTGTCAGGAAAAAGAAAGAATTATCGAACAAAACCTTCACCGCTAGTGCAGTTGGGTAAGATTGTATAACTATCTCATGGTGGTGGTTGAATTATTTTATATTGTATACATATAAGTACCTGATGTTTTAATACGTATCATTTTGGAATTTGATAAAATATATGTTAATTCTAAATTATATATTTTTATTATTATAAATATTAAATAAAATACATTTTCTTTAATTAAATAAGATGATTACATTTTATGTTTTGTAAATAATTAAAATAAATAGCATGCTTATGTATTTGAAGCATGTATGCTACTTTTGTAGCATTAGAACAACAAAATATTTCTGTGTTTACAGAAGGCAACGTGAAGTGGAACAAAAAATGGTTGAAGAAGAAGCTGCCAAGCGAATTGAAGAACTAGTGCAGAAGAGGGTAGAAGAAGAACTAGAAAAACGTAAAGAGGAAATAGAAGCTGAAGTACAAAGGAGGGTAGAAGAAGCTAAAAGGGCAATGGAGCGACAAATGATGGAGGAAATGGAATGGAGACAAGCAAAACTTCGTGAGGAGGAAAAACGAAGAGAGGTAAGACCAATCCAGAGAAACATTGGCCAGTGTTAGCCCAAGCGCTGTTTCGATCAACAGGAAATAAGTCTGGTGCTCTATCCTTGCATTATTTTTATATTTAAATAAACAATATATTTTGATAAAAGCAGAGCTATAATATCAATGAAATATATATATAATGGAGGAAATGTATTTTATAATTTATAATGAATTGACTGGTAAGATGCAATTTAATTTAAATGTTTTTAAACTATAAAGAAAACTTAGGGTTTTATATGTTTGCATGTGTTGACATAAAAAAAAAAAAAAAAAAAAAAAAATAT